TTTGTATATATATATATATATATTGTGACAATATATATATATTGATATATATTGATATATTGATATATTGATATATACAGTTTGCGTGAGAAGTACAATATTTCAATTCAGACTTGCAGACGTATAGTATGTTTCTATTCTTTCACCTCGTCCCTAAATGTTGTTATGAATGCTGTACGCTATGCTTTTGTTTGAATCGTAGTTAAGTCGAAGTCGATGCAATACATCCGAATTCCTGTTCTATCAGTAGATACCAGCGTTTCACATGGTTCATGTGTTACTACTCGGTGATAATACTCTTTCCTTGCCAGTTTGAGAATATGTAACTTTGATGTGTTGTATGTCCTGCTGAGCTGAAAAAAGTAATCAACACCCTATTCTAATTAGAACAACTGCCTCGGATTTCTGGTGGGTTTTTTTGCGATAGATATGGGTCACCCAAACACGGAATGTGAATCCATAAGTTGAGCATTAAACTGACGTTACACGATCCGCTAATGAGTTTCACCTATTGCACTCGAGACTACATTGTATTGCAATCCTTTTACAGTTGATTAATAATTTTGTATCTGATCTGAGTGGTACGTGCCTCCAAAGGCCAAATCCCTTCTCAATCGACATGGATAGCACCCGGAGTGTGTGTTTATATAACGCCCGGCTGTAAACAGCTGTTGGTGGGGAATATGTTTGCAATACCTTCGTATCCGTCCAGAGATCGTTGGCTTGCTTGCCTACAATTTAGGGTACAACGCCCATCGAAAGAATACACAGACTTGCGCAATACGTGACAACAGTCAAACGCGAACTGAATGGTGTAGACATACTCTCACAGAGTATGACAACCGTTCCTGCCAGAGGTTTTGAGTTTATTGCGCTCTCGAAAAGTCGGCAATGTTCACATCCGCTGGATGGTGTTTGTATTTGTTTAAATGCTTACTTGTATCTGGGTGTTTGTATATATTTAAATACTTCTATTGACAAGCCTCGCTGAATGAATCTAAACTCACAAATGGCAAGTGCGCACGCCTACCGAAACTCACTTCATTACAGTCTGGGCATATGATAAAACCTCAACTTTTTAATAAAATCCAGTGTCGATACTAGTGGCACCCAGACCTCTCTGCACAACTACCGGCCCTGGTGTCTGGTGGGATGAGCCACGCACGTGCTGCAGACACAATCACTCCTTCTCGCGAGTGGCCACATATCCCTCTGGGGGTGGGACGCCGTAGAACCACTCGTACTCACTGGCCTTCATTTGACACACCTGTAGTACACACACACAAGCGTGTAGGGGGTATGCTTCAGGATTAAACGCGGTCTTGTGAAGAGATAGGCCGTGAGACGGTGGCACGTGAAGCACATACCACCGGCTTAGAAACATTCTATTTGTTCGAGAGTTTACAAGAAAAGTAAGTAAGCGACAAGGAAATAGTGACAATTGAGCAAGTCTGTTGGCATGCAATCATGTGTAGTTATTCCATTCGAAACGGGCGTATACATGTGGCCTTAATAATCTTTCGCGACTACTAACAGGGAGAAAGTTTATCCTTTGATGCAAAAGAAAAACCCCCCACGTCTCCACTAAGTGTCTGAATGCGCAGAATGGCGTGAAGGTGCGCTACGATATGTAACTGCGTGCAACTATGACACTAACCATGCAATCTCATTCACAAGCGGCATGGCACGTATGCAATGTGTGTAAAAGTGCGTGTGAATACTCCTCGCATGGGCATGCCGCACCATAGATACACACATACCCCACAGTACATACCTCTGGATGAGGGGGGATGTTCCGTTCGAACTTGGATCCTCCAGGGGCGGTGGGGACTGTATAGAGAACGTTTGATAGCATTTGGGATTAGAAGGGTGGTATAGAAATAGAGTGAGACTGGACGCATACGAGTACCTGCCCTTGAACGTCTGTGAATAGATTGGCTGATTGCGGAGATAACTCGCAAGAATCATGTTCAAGATATATGCGAAAGCAGACGATGGTTCCGACAACATAGTATCATTCCTATAGTGCCGAAAATATTTAAGTTTTGAGATTAGATTGGTAAATTTATGTATAAACGATTGTTTATTCATTACCTCACAATTTCTCTGTACCTGAATGTGTACATACGAGAGAGAGGAATCACCTTCATAGAAACGTCGCTTCGGTTTGTAGGTAGTTTGGCAAACAACATATAAAATTTATACATATATATATATATATATATATATATGTGTGTGTGTGTGTGTGTGTGTGTGTGTGTGTGTGTGTGTGTGTGTGTTGTGT